CATTTTTGTTAGGAACATCATCAAGCTGGAGAACAAAAGAATTTAAAATGTTTTCGAACGTATTCCATTTTTTGCTATCCATTTACACAAATTGTATCAGCTACACGTGTCCATCAAAGGAATTTTGTTATTGAGCTTCATTTAGTGTCTGAATATGATTACACTATGCAACAACAAGAAACAACTACAGAGAAGGGAACTTATTTACAAAGTTTTTTGGGCCCACTTAATCCAAATCTGGCGTTAGTTTGTCCTGGCACGTCTAGTTTTCAAGAAACGTTCATTGCTTTCCGTATCAAATTTGGATTAAGTGGGACAAAAAAACCTTGGAAATGAGTCTTTTTGGGGGAAATTTTTCTTTGACATTTGTTGCAAAGTGTTGGTAGACCTCAATTCGTAAATTCCATAACTGAAAAATACCATAATTTAAAAAGAAATTATAATTCCATAACTGAGTTATACGTTGCAGTGCACGTGTCAGCTATTGGTAGATGAATGGTATAAAAGAGGCGCCACCGCATAGGGAAGACCAAACGAATTCAAAGTATCTCCTCTCAAATTATCATTGTGCAACAGCTTAAAACTCTGTTTCGTTGGCAAATGAAAATGAGTCTACTACACGGTTTGTTTTTGGTGCTATTTATCGTTGAATTTTCGGTAAGTTTTTTCTATTCCTTTATCATTTCCATTTTTATCCAACAAAATGTGATGTTTCTGTAGAATTGAAAGTGAACAAGTTTCTTCGTATTTCTTTTTCTAGGAACTTCAAGGAAAACGTAAGACAAATTTTGTTTTCGTACACGCTTTTTATGATTCCAAGAGATTTTTCATTTTAAAATTTCAACTCTTTTCTCTAATGAACAGATGGCTTTTTCTCGCAAGCACTTCTCAAGGGCGAAGCAATTGAAAACATGTCACAGGCAAAGTTTGTAGCAACAATCTATGCCCCTGCAAGTAAGTCAGCTTTAGAATAATTTTTATTATTTTTTTCGTGTGAATTTTCGATTCAAATATTCTATCAATTTTGTGTGTGTTAATTTTTGCTTGTACTGAGACGAAACGATTCCATTACAGAATTTTTGTATGCATTCAAAGACAAGTTAACTGATGCCGATAGAGAAATGGGGGTTACATGTACCGCATTTATTTTGTCAAAAACGGAAATTATCACGAATGCCCATTGTGTGGCTGGCGCTCCATATGCCTATGTGGTAGCTGGTACGAAAGTTGCATCAGACAAAAATCAAAAAATCAAAATCAAAGTCGAAAAAGAGAACTTGGCATATCATCCTCATTTTGATCATTTAATTGGTGGTGCATTTGATATTGCCAAAGTTACACTGAAAACGCCGTTAGAATTCAGCGATACCGTTGGCAGTATCAAACTCGTGGACAAGGATTACAAATTGAATAACTCATCAGAAGTGGTCACTGTCTATGGGTATGGCGTGTTGAATCCACCAATGATATTGAGGCGTTGCGATGCGAACTATATATCTGACGTCGAACGGGACAACACATTCGACCTAGATCAGACTTTGTACTTTACCACTAGCGAAGCTACGAACGATGGCGAAATTCTTACATCTGGAGATTCGGGTGGACCAGTCGTTTCAAAAACAAACGGCAAAATCGTGGGCATAGCTGTGGGTATAAATGGAACAACAGGTGGTCGCGGAATGTTCCTTCCAATTGCATCATTCCTTGATTTTATCCATGATCCAAAGGTATCTAATCTCAATGCCCCAATTTGCAATTCAATAACGCGAACAAAATGTATTTTTGCTTTTATTTCAGAGCGTGAAACCACTTCCACCTTCGCTTACACCTAACGAAGCTAAATTTATGGCCGATATAGCGGTACCGGGAAGTGAGTGTGCATTCGAAATTTGAATTAAATCAATTTATTATGTGGTTTTTAACGTCACTTTTAATCTTCATATTTTTTTGTTCTTTCGACGGGAAAAGAGGTGATTTTTCATGATTCATAAACCAATACTCATGCTGGGATATTTTTCTATTACAGAATTTCTCACCGTTACCAAGGAAGCATATGCCGATGCCGACGAAGATGATCAAATACAATTTAATGCAATCATTTTGTCGGAAACTGAGATTTTGACCTGTGCAGATCATGTGCACGGCGCCCCATATGTCTATGTAATAGTAAATAAACTATCAAGCAATGCGACAGAAATTAAAGTCACTGAAGACCAGATAGAAATTCATGAGAAATACGCATTTCCTGGATTGACATTTGACATTGCCAAGATTACACTTAAAGAACCGTTGGAGTTCAACGACAACGTCGGCAGCATCGATTTGGTGGACAAAGATTACAAATTGAATGACCCGTCTGAAATAGTCTCTGTCTATGGTGATATGATATTGGATGGAACGGTGAGAACGAGACGTTTTGATATAAATTATTTGAATAGTGACATTTGTAAATCGAATTTGGGCGACCGATTTGATGCAAATCATTTGATGTGTTACACTTTTGATGAGAGTAATGGAACTCCCTCTACGTTTGGAGGACCAATGGTTTCGAAAAAGAATAACAAACTCGTGGGCATGACCATATTTCGTTTTCCTGATAATTCAGTTATTTTTCAACCGATTGCACCGTTGCTCGATTGGATCCGGAAGCCAAAGGTGAGACGTAATAATAGAAGAAGAATATAGGCTTGAAAAAAAGGGGTTTTAAGCGCCTGAAAAAGCTGAATACCGTCTCTTTTTTTGTTCCTGTCATTTGTTAATCGACAAAAGAACCGAATAAATTTGAAAATTTGAGAAAAATTCATTTTAGTTTTCATTCGCCCATGCGCAGTTACGTGATTATCCAAAGTAATTGCGATATATATTACGGCTTGCAATGCACGTAAAAATTGCACGTAAGTGTGAGCGAGATAGCATGAGTTTTGGGCATCCCAGTGAATAGGTACTACGGAACTTATTACGAACGACAACTGTGGTGTTATAATCTTTGTATTTATGATGAACAGACAATGTATTTGGCTAATGTCAGCTAGCTAACTGAAAACATTCTGGCTGGCTCAGCGGCTGAATTCTATGCGTTGCGATTTTTCATCGCAATCTGTAGTACAGAAATCATATATATGGAGATTTTTGTTTTTTTTCATGTACCGTTATTTGTCAACAAGTCTGTCTATGCCACTGAACATAGTATAAGGCCCATAAGAAATGTAAAATTTTCGCCATTTATTTTTACATTGGCAATACATTAGTTATGGGGATTTTTGTTTTGTTTATTTTTTGTTGTTTGTAAACAAATCTGCCTATCTTTTTGCATTGCCTCTGCACATTTCCTATGGACATATACTATGCACAATGCACAGTGACAATGCAAAAAGATAGGCAGATTTGTTTACAAACAACAAAAAATAAACAAAACGAAAATCCCCATATATATGATTTTTGTACCGCAGATGCGATGAAAAAACGCAACGCATAGAATTCAGCCGCTGAGACAGCCAGAATGTTTTCAGTTAGCTAGCTGATATCAGCCAAATACATTCTTTGATGATGAAGTGAGGAACAAAGTATATATGTATGTGTGGGATGAATCGATTGGCTCGCGAGGCTCACAAGAGATTGGATCATGTTTGTTCCACTTTTTTCTTAAATACATTCCGCACGACACAAAACGGATTATTTTGTACAGTGACTCATGTGGTGGACAAAATAGAAATAACAGACGAATAAAAAGACAGACGATTTAGTATGCGCTGTTAAGGGTGCGGTTTATTGCATGGTTTGTAGTGAACTGATTGGAATGAGAATTCAACATGTAGTTGATACAGTTGATTTGACACAATAGTATTATAGCTGTGGTAACACTGTTTTCAATACTCCCACGTCTTGTTTCAAATCAATATTCCAAAAAAATTAACAATTAATAAATTTTCCCAATGCTATAACAATAAACTAAGCCTTTTCAACAAAAATCAACAAGAGAATTAATTCTTACTACTCTGAGAGTGGAATGATATTTAGATGTAAACGCAAACTTTCGAATCTGATTTTTGGCAAAGGTTTTGTAAAAATATCAGGTAATTGTTTTTCAGTACAAATTCCTTTTACGCTAAATACATTTTGTGCAACATTTTCTCTAATTGAATCATATTTGACTTCAATGTGTTTTGTTCGCTTGTGCAGTACTGGATTCTTGATGATTTTGACTGCACTTTCGTTGTCCACAAAAAGCGTTGGCAAATTCGAAACGGTTATTTCATCCACTTCTCCAAGTAAGCGTTTTAGCCAGATCAATTCTCTCGATGCGAGTGATGCCGCGATGTATTCTGATTCAGCTGTCGAGTGTGACACTGATGATTGTCTTTCAGAACACCAACTTACTATCCCTTTTCCAAGTAATAGACAGTAACCTGTGGTTGACCTTCGCGTTTCGGTACAACCAGCGTAATCGGCATCACTGTAAATAGAAAACTTCAAATTGTTAGCATTTCCACTTGAAAACAATATACCATAGTTGCTGGTTCCTTTCAAGTATTTCAGTCTCCGTTTCACTGCTGTCACATGAGAATTTGTGGGTTGTTCCATGAATCAGCTGACGTAACCAAAACTGATATCTGGTCGAGTCCCAATTGCCAGATAAATCAGAGATCCAACCACTTGTCGATACGGGAACTTCACGTTCGATACCTCCTCTGCTGCCTCCAACACTTGCTGATGATTCACCGGTGTTGCCACAGGATGTGAGTCTTCCGTAGCGCGACTCTATTGGGCTCTCTAAAAAAAACAGCGCACCCTTTTGGGGATCTATAGTTTTCTATGCAGAAAGTTGGCGTTACTGCATGAGGGCGCTGTGTACCTGTACATGCGCATCCCAATATGTAAATAAAAAATTCTTCTTCATTTCATATTTTTTCGTGTTCACACCGACATGTTTATATTTGCATCAATGATAAAATAATAGAAAAGAATTAAAAAGATGAAATCGAACAAATGTCTAGTCATATAAAAATCGCTAATGTTTGGTTTTTAATATGATTTCGCAATATTTCACAATTTCACAATATGTTGTAATCAATATGGAATCTTGTGAAATCATATGACAACAACAAAACGTGTCCATAATTATAACAGCGATGACATTAACTACAGACGTTTTTATGAGTTTTATAGAGAAAAAATATGAGCTGAATTAAATTTTAAATTTTGCAATCATTCATGAATGCATTGTACAATTATTCAAAATATTTTAAAATATGAATCTAACTGCATGCCTCCAAAATAATGTTCAAAAAAACTACGATTTAGAAAAATTATTTTCTTTAATGCATCCCAAGTAACAAAACATATCAAATTACTATGTATTATGTGTGTTGCCATTGGTTCACATGTATTACTTGGGTTTCAATGATAAAATATCCAAAAGGGGGCGCGTGTGTGTTTAGTTTTCATGCAAATTCCCATATAGTGTCACGCTTCGGAGTCTTCGAAGCCAAACTTGTTCAACACCCGGTTGGTGTATGATGGTTGACTCAAATGTATCGATCCATCCGACATTCGATTTATTTCGAGTCCAAGAAAGTAGTTGGCATCAAACACTTTAATTTCGAAATGTATTTGTAAATGCCCGATGACTGGCTGTATGCATGACTCGCTCGTGGAAATGATTATACCATCGTCGACAAAAATGGCTAAATATGTTGTATCGTTGCCACTTTTTCGAATGTAAACACATGCGTCCGCCTTACTTTCTTTAAATTCGAAGTCGGTAATGAACTTTTTAAACTTTGCATTCCAACACCGTGGCGCTTGCTTCAATCCGTATAGGCTCTTCGTCAGCCTACACACTCGATTCGTGCCATCTTCAATGGCTCACTGTCATGACTTCCACGGATACGAACTTTATCCGTATCCGTGAAAGTCACGGATATGGTTTGTATCCGTATCCGCATCCGAGAAAGTGTTATCACGGCTACGGATAAGATTTATATCCGTATCCGTGAAAAATTTCAACTTATCCGTGGACAATAAAAATTTATCCATGATACTAATATATAAGTTTATATTCTATATGCATAGTAAATGACTCAATGACGGTTGATATGCCGATCTGAAACCAAATTGATACACGCAAAGAGCTAACATGGCAAAAATAAAGTAAATTTATGAACATATATATAATTTCGTATAATCTTGTAAAACACATCCGTCGTGACACGGGAAAAAATGTACACATGATTTTTTTTTCGATTTATACTTAGAAAAGTATGTTTTCTATTTATTCTGATTGCGTGAAAAGAAAGTATGTTGGCACACCGTATAGCCTCACGGGTTTTCACGGTTTTCGCGGAACTGATAAGAGTTAAGAGATAACTGTCTTGGAAAAAGTTATAGAGGACGTCGAGTACTAAAACTTTGCCGAGGAGACCAATTTGTTATCTTTTATCAGTTCCGTGAAGACCGCATTAGTCACCGCAACAAACCGGGATAGCCTACCAAAAATAAACGTTTGAGTCACAAATAAATGCATTTTACTCATGGCGACTCTTCGAAATAATCTTTTTGTTGTACAGATTTACATTTTCGATATGTTAATAATATGTTATTGCCAAACATATTTATTATTATGTTATGTTGGAATTTTTCTTCTTCCTAATAACGTTATTAAGATTTGGCATAATAATAACATAACATCTTAATAACGACCATAGATTCTCACATAGTCTGATCTCGTTGATCCTGACCCCTGCTGGCGAAATTTGACCCCCAATGAATTTTTTTGGGCCCATACTCATTTTCCGACTTTGTTTTCAAAAGTGAGGACCTTTTTTTTGGGTTTTCACTTTTTTTCGATACCGATTTTACACTAGATAGAATTGATTTTTTTGACCCATCATGAATTTTTGGTCTGACCCTATCTGAAATTTTTGGTGTCAGAATCTATGCCTGGAACACCAGTCGTTTTTCTTCCGATCACTCAGTTGCGAGAATGGATCCGCGTAAGAAATTTTTTTTATCGGGACTAAAATCATCTAAAATAATGTCGAAATCGTCTACGTCCGATCTTACTTTTTGGCGTGAATTCCGTCTCTTTTTTTGCCCCTGTCATTTGATGTTCAACAAAAGAACCGAAAAAATTTGAAAATTTGAGAAAAATGCATTTTATTTCTCATTCGCCCATGCGCAGTTACGTGATTATCTGAAGTACTACTGTGTCCAAAAAGTAAGGTGACATTGCATTTATTTTGAAAATTCTTTATTTATTCTTCCAAATCAATTTCATCGCCTTCAAAGTAATCCCCTCCCGATACAATGCACTTATGCCAACGGATTTTCCAATCTTCGAAACAGTTGAAAAAGTCGACTTCAGGGATGGCCCTCAGCTCCGTCTTCGCTGCGGCTTCAATCTGCTCTATCGTCTCAAAACGGTGTCCCCGGAGCGGTCTTTTGAGCTTGTTGAACAGCCAGAAGTCGCACGGTGCCAAATCAGGTGAATACGGTGGTTGTGGAACGATATGAGTCGAGTTTTTGGCGAAATGTTCACGAAGAATGATCGCATTGTGAGACGATGCATTATCATGGTGCAAAAACCAAGAGTTTTCTTTCCACAATTCCGGCCTCTTTTGGCGGATAGCGTTACGCAAACGACGCATAACACTCAAATAATATTCCTTGTTGACTGTTTGACCCGGGGGAAGGAACTCATAATGCACAACACCCCGATAATCGAAGAAAACAGTCAACATGAC